GGAGGCCATCGCTAGTAGGTTGGAGGCCATCACTAGTAGGTTGGAGGCCATCGCCAGTTGGAGGCCATCGCTAGTAGGTTGGAGGCCATCGCTCGTAGGTTGGAGGCCATCACTAGTAGGTTGGAGGTCATCACTAGTAGGTTGGAGGCCATCACTAGTAGGTTGGAGGCCATCACTAGTAGGTTGGAGGCCATCGCTAGTAGGTCAGAGCCAATCACTAGTAGGTTGGAGGCCATCACTAGTAGGTTGGAGGCCATAGGCCATCACTAGTAGGTTGGAGGCCATTGCTAGTAGGTTGGAGGCCATCGCTAGTAGGTTGGAGGCCATCACTAGTAGGTTGGAGGCCATGGCTAGTAGGTTGGAGGCCATCACTAGTAGGTTGGAGGCCATCGCTAGTAGGTTGGAGGCCATCACAAGTAGGATGGAGGGCATCACTAGTAGGTTGGAGGCCATCGCTAGTAGGTTGGAGGCCATCACTAGTAGGTTGGAGGCCATCACTAGTAGGTTGGAGGCCATCACTAGTATAGGTCAGAGGCCATCACTAGTGGGTTGGAGGCCATCACTAGTAGGTTGCTGGTTGTCTTTCTTCACACGTGGCCTAGGCCGCCAGTCGCAGGTGGACGGCACACATGACATAGTGTCTCGGAATAGATCTTGGGTGACTCCCCAAGATGGTAGCATCTATAGACAACTCCCCCAACAAGCGAGGTGGACGACTGTACATGTGCACCATGTGCAGTCATTCACATGTCAGATGTGTCCCGCCTTTCCAGCAGCATTCCGTAGGAAGCCTGCATAGTCCCGGGTGTGTGTCCAACCGGTGAGCGAGGCAGAATAGCCGTTCTTAAGATTGATCTGGAAGGTCTGGCCTGCCGAAAACGATCGACGGTCACGGGGTTGATACTCAACGAAGACCAAGAGGGGCCGAAAGCAACGAAGATGACGCCAGCATAGACCCCAGATATACTTGAAGTAGGAACCCCAGATGTATAATCTCAGATATCTAGGGAATAAACTTCTCTCAACCCCCCCTTTCTCTCCTGCGATATCATTGAGGTTCTGATGGACTTCTGTGACATGGTCGACGAAGTTAAACTCCTGAAGCCCAGGCAGTCCGACGGAGTCCCATTCGGTGGTTGGCACCCCCCCACAAACTAACATGGAACCTGAGAATTGACCGGTGGTTTCGACCATGTTCATCCATTTTCCGCGACCGGTGGTCTTGGGGTTCCAGGTGAATCTGCAGGGGAGTAAATGGTGACACCCCAACATGTTGCAACAAATGGAACTTCCTGGAGCCAACAAAGCCACTTCCGCACCCCTTGGTGTGCCCGAAGGCAGCGATGGAGGCAGGGTCACTCTCTCTTCGTCTCTCGAGGAGAAAAGACGTCCCGGTGCGAAGGTTCCGCCGAGCTTCGCTGCGTTCAGTCCGTGAGTTCCGGTCACAGAACGGCAGGCCTTTTTCGTGTTTTGGTTTCTGTTTCGCCTAGGCGACACAGGTCCTTGTAGTCGCTGAGATGTTCTGCTTCCAGAAAGCTGCCAGCCGCTAACTTCCACTTCAAATAGTTCACCGCCTGATTTGAGGGGTTCCGGCTTGAATTTTACAAGGGCTTCTGCTGAAATCGACTTCCAGCAGGGGTTCAGATGGTTTTTCCTCTACCCAGAAACCCCTCCGCATGCTTTGACCCTAACTGAAAAGGTTCCTTCTCATCGAATTCCTTTGTCAACGGCTGTAGATGCATGTGCGTGTGGCTTGGAACCGCAGGAACCTGGTTGATTCAGACCCATGTTCGCGCTAGTAGACTGCCAAATTTGATCAGAAAAGGTTCAAGCATCCTGGTTCTACAACGGGAGGGTGTGACCATAAATGGCAAACAAGATCTTCCACATACACACGACTGCTTCTGCCTTCAGGATCAAAAAGAACCCCACCCATTCGATGGAAAGCAGGTCCCACTCTTTACAAACTCATGAACTCTTTCAAGTGATGGAGAGAACCCCGTTTTTGGACAAAGAATCGGGGAAGTGACATCTTTCAGCAACACAGAAGCTGCATGGGCACCCGGGCAGCCCGACGTTTTGGAACATGGGTCACAGAATTTCGCTCACCTCGCGTTCACCCTCGGTCCGGTGGACCCGGTCGAAGTCCCGGTCTGCACCTGGAGCATCTCAGCATCGCTCAAGGCTCGATCCAAGGTAATGATCTCCATCACGGCGAAGTCGCTGGTTTCGATGTACGCCACGCCTTCATGAGGGTTGATCACCAAGTTTTGATCCATTCCTGGAGAGTGCGACAGGGTTGGGGGCGAGTGAAGCGCTGGTAAAGCGAAGAAGTCCAGAAGACAAAACACCGAAAGGGACGTGAACACTTGAGGATTTGGGTGCTGACCTTCAAGTCTATCTGACCCTAGTAGGGAGGTACTAACCACCCACATGGTATCAGTATGTAGAGGGTGCAAAAGCGGTGGACGGACAGGTGGGATCTGTTCACCAGTGGGAAAGGGAGAGCTCATCAAGTGGGAAACGGACACGGCCGGCCAAGGCTGCTCATCTTAGTAGATAGGCTTGCCTGATTTTCTGATGGTACAGATTTGCGAGCCTATCGACAGTACTGGTCTTGCTATATAGCATCACCAGATGGAGCCAACTGCCCTTAGTATCTACTGAAATGGTGCTGGTTCTTGTTAGATTCTTACTGCCTGGCTGGAGGTTTGCCCAACGAACAGCTCAAAAGAACCCTTCGAGTTCTCAGTGTCATCCGGAGTCCAAGCATCTGACCGCCATAAGTATCGAGAAGTACAGTGCTTGACCACAAGTACATGCTACTGTATGGCACTGTCACTTGGGGACTGTGAAACAGACTACATCTGATCTGCTCTGTTCTCCAAGTCTGGTCACAACGTCCACGTGACCCCCGTCATCCGCCTGTCATCCCAGCTGCAACCGAAGCTTCCCAAGTCTCCCGCGGTCTTTGTGGCCACATTGTGGATGTCATCATAGATGCGCGCCGCGGCGTTGGTACCGCAAAAGACCAGCCAATCCATCGAATCGTGCTGGCGGTAGGTGTCGGTTTGCCACCCGTTACTGTTGTAGTGGGCGACTCCCACTTGCCCATGCCAATGGCCGTGCAAGAAGTTCGATTCCTAGAGCGCTCAGGTGATGACTTTGAGAAGACTTGGGGAGCTGGCCAGTTCATGATGCGTTTGAGCAATTCGCGTTTCCGGATGAAGCTACTCAGCAGGGTTGATTTGAGGGGTGACTCATCACCTCATAACCTTTTACAGTAGATTCATTTGCACTGCAAAGCTCCACACTGCAGAAGCTACTGAAGCAAGTAAGGTATCAAATTCCACGGGGCGCCTTGCGCTCCAGGCGCTCCACGGCAGTCCTGCCGAACCCAACAGCAATGCCCGAGTCTCAACCACCCCCCCCGCCGAGTCTCGGTGGTTTGAAGGATCCGGTTCCGGTGGGACTCATAGGTGCTGTCGTAGCGGGTCACCGAGCAGAGCGTGAAGGTCCGCTTGATGACCGGGCCAAAGGACATGCCACTGCTGGCGCGCCCTGTGGACCCGAGGTCCACGGTGCGATCTGTTCGTGTCAAGGCTAATAAGGCTAATAAGGCTTGCTTGTAACCAGAAGCTACGCACCGGTTGGAGAGTAGCCGCTAGTAACAGGATTGCGGTCTTGTAGTCACGATGTTATATTGTTCATATATAACTCTATATTATATACTATATCTTTACACTGCATGGCCGATCTACCTTCCCTTCCGAAGTGGGGGCCGTCCTTCCGCCTTCACATCCTACCAGTCACCTCGGACTCCCGGGACCCCCGCCTCGCACGTAGGTCACCGGCCGATCGGCGCCGTAGCCAGCGCCCACCGTGCGCGCACAGGAGTGGGTCTGGGTTGACACACCTGGGCCAAAGGGTCGAACGAAGCGATCCGAAGCGATCCGAAATGCCAAGAAGATGTCGTGAACGGTTTTTTCTTCGGCTGGGTATGATCGCCGTTTCAGACGAAGAGAAGGGAAAAAAGACATAACACCAGGATTTCTCCTTCCTCTCTCAACAATCCAGCTAGCAAGTATCACACTCGGGCCAAGCTAGCCTCGATGTTTGAGCTAGTTCAAGCTAGCATCCCAATCCTGAAAGTTAAAAGTTCCTGACATTCCACCGGCTCAAAATCCAGCTGGTGACTGAACAAGCCCGTCAGCATCCCCCCCTGCAACCGAAGCGTCCTTCATAGTGGCCCACCGAACTCGGCCAGGAGGAGCCTCGCGACCCACCGCGACCGCGGTTCGGTGGTGCATGGTGCGCCGAACCGAAGTCGGCCAACAAAGCCAAATGCTACTAGTAGCTATTGCCAATAGTAAGGCCAACAAAGCAAGAGCCTATTGGCCACTAGTAATGCAGCTCGTGGCTCGTTCCTGATCTCTGACCACGTTCGCTCCTTCGAGGTTTTTGTTTCAACCCCGTGGCATGGCGTCAAGGCCTTTCTGGCGGAAGACTTCGTCTCCACCTTCCAAAAGACGGGTCTTGGTCTTCACAGGTCTTCGCACATGACCACAGTGGAGCCGCGTCTTCAAATGTCTTCGCATGTCTGATGCTTCAGACGGAGCGAACTGCACGAGTGGGTCCAACGACTTGGGAACCGTGGAAAACGTCTCCCGAGTGGCTCCACGAGGTCAGCTCTGAAACACCGTTTTAGACGAAGGTCCTAAGACAGTTTTCCTTCATATCGCAGACGGTGTCTTCTTCTGTGAAGGTTTATCGCGAAACTTGTTGCACTGGTGCTCTTCATGAGCGCCACCTGAAAGGCAAACAAATGTGTTCAACACCAACAAATCAGATGGACAGGGCCACTTGCAGTAGAAGAAAGGACGAAGTTTGTAGAGGCCACCGGATCCTGCCGTCCAGCTGCGCAGTCCAATGGTGAAGTCCCAAAGCGGACGAGGCCCTCGGGGTTTCCCGATTGGAAATGAACCACGTCCAACAGCAAAGAAATCTGAGACCAAACAGGATCAAGAGGAGCCGGGGAGCCAGAACGGCGCAAGAACGCAACAAGATCAGAATCTGCCGCGTGTTTGCGACCACAAAGCGACCCCAACGGAATGCCTGGTCTTTGGAGCTATGAGCGAAAGCAAAAACAGAAACCTCCGTCAAAAAAGAACGGTCAAACCACAAGAACCTCCTGTGTGTGTGTGTGTGTCAACACCTGTTCCAAAGGAATGTGTTGTACACTCGCAAGGGGGCAGTGGTCCTTTCAGCAGTCGCTGCCTAACAAAGACACTGCTGATCGGATGTGATATGATTCTGGGACGCCAGAATCACGTACCTGCAAGGTTCTTTAAACATATTGTAAAGGGCTAATGAGCGATGTTCAACAATTCTGGTTTCCGGACTCCTTCGCCTTCCCGTTCCCTCAGCCAAGGCCTAATTGCGTATAAAGGTCTACCTGCAGTAAAGTGGAACTTGTGTCAACTGATTTAGTCACACTGCGGGCTGTGGTGTGATCCCCAGCCAGGGGCGCAGCATGTGCACATGCCCTTAAGGGTGACCCTTTCCTGATCCCCGTCCTGCTTTGGATCCTCCCTCGATTCATCCATGACCCTCGGTCCTGCACAAGAATGCTGATCATACGCCGCAGGGCTTACTGAGATCGAACTCCAGCACGGATTCTCGCATGCGGCTAGGTAGTCACGTCCATGTCACGCGGCTAGGTAGTCATAGGCCGGAGTGCCAAGTAATCACTTTTTCGGTTCTTTCCTTCCTGCTGTTGCTCTTCGCTTTCTAGGTATTTTTTCGTTTTCTAGAGGCTCTTTAGGCGTAACTGATGTTCTTTTAGTCAAGCGAGCGCTGATGACGGCTTCATTTGCCAGTGCCTTCGGGCCAGTGCTTTCCATCCCACCCCCACCCCACACCCCCTGCACCCTTTCTTTCCTTGCCTTTTTCGTTTGCTTGGGCCTTCCTTCAGGCTTGTTAGGTCGGCGTTTAGGCTCATTTAGTCAATGCACGCCCTGCCCACACCCCCGCACCCCCTTGCACCTTTCTCTTTCTTCCAACAATTCTGGCTTCCGGACTCAGCCAAGGTCTAATTGCGTGTAAAGGTCTACCTGCAGTAAAGTGGAACTTCGTCAACTGATTTAGCTGTTGCGAGCATCAATCTAAGTGTGTGTGCGTGTATGCGTCTGCTGTCAAGTGTGTTAGGCAACATGGTTTTGCTAGAAAAGTGTTGATTTTCCATGTCCGTGCTCTACATAACGCATTGCTCATCATGTCCGTGTACCAGGTGCCCTGTGGACAGAATGTGACAAAACTGATCCTCATGTCCATCTTCGACATCAAAAACCACACCCAAAGTATCAGGCGCTTGAAACAAGCGAAGGCGCCAAGTAGTAGTTGCCGACTGCGGCTCAGGGGTCATCTCATCTGTTGGATCTCTGGGCGTCATCTTTGGATGCCAACGACAACGAGCAGCTGCCTTTGCAGGCGCCTATTGGCTCTTTTCGACCTGCCTAGTCGTGCGATCACATGCCAAATAGAAGGATAGCTCATCTGGTGAACCTCTTCAAAAGGCCTGACCTCACCGTGTCTTCGTTTCAGCTGACACAGCGACTACCGTGCTTTAACTTTCGTTGTTCAAGCTTTCGTTCGTGAGTCCGTCTTCCGCATCTCTCCCTCCGGTCCCTTCCCTCCCTGGAGCTTTCCAGCTCCCAAGGCACCAAAAAGCCCACCGTCAGCAAGACTGGGCCAGGCAGACTGTCCCCAACACATCCGCTCATCCCCCACCCATCCACCCACCCTTCATCCAGCCTGCGTTCTCGCTCTTGAACCACGCAACCATCCCCGCGGAGGGCGGGTCCGCCGGCTTCGGAGGCGCGGAGTGGTGACCGATCTTGCTGATGTGAAGACCACTCAAGTGGACATGGCTCTGCCAGCGTCGGAAGGTGAACAGGAGCCCCTCGGCGGCTGGAACATTTGGCGGCGTGACATGTGATCGGGGGAGGAAGGGACAAGCATGCGGCGGTGGAACTGGCCCCAGCACGCGGGGGGTGGGGGTAACAAAATAAAGAGAATCGACGAGTTTTTCAAGGTGAGTCTATCAGTCTATCAGTCATCAGATCTGTGGGTACTTGGCCGAGTTTCCTGTCATTCAAAACGACAGGAAGTTCGTCAACGAGGTGGTGGTCCTGGGGATTCCCACTGGTGCTCAATCCAAGAGGCAGATCTGCACAGCTCTCCAGAGGTCCCCCGCTATATTGAAAAAAATTGTGTCTTAATCAACGGCCTTCACAGGCTCTAATTCGATGCCTGACCATCCATACCTTTCAGACCTCCAGGAAAGGGAGAAAGTAAGTTTTTTTCAAAGTGTGAACCATCCAATCCCCACAAATAAGAAAGAACGCTTGCCATGTCCAAAAGTTTCTCTCAAGTGGCTGTGGGTCATGGCCACCGATCATGAACACAATACACTACCTGGGAGGTCAACCTGCCAGGTTTGGGGCTCCGGGTGTTGACCCACAATCAAGTATCGTTGCTAAAAGAAAACGCCGGTGCTGAAGCATCTCTCGCGGATTTTTTCACCCTCAAGACCCTGCCACAAAGGAGGGCACGGTTGGTGTGTTTCATCCCACTTAATTTGAGAGGAACTTCGAACTTAATGTAGACACTTGATGTGTATACATACGCTACCCCCCATGACTTACCTTCTTGGGGGCTTGCAAGGCATATGGTGAAAGAAAAAACATTTTGCAGCCGGACAACAACTTTGTTTGATAGTCTTTATGGCCGGTACGCTTAAAGTATTGTATTTGGTGATTGGTTTTTTCAATTTGAACAACATGATGAAATGTCCAATCCTTGATCTTAAAATGTCCGTGGTTCAACATCTATACTTTCCTGGCTCTTGTTAGTTCCTTATTCAATATCCTTGTATTAACATTAACGATCATTTTGCATTTGTATCTTCATGAGGTTTATCTGAACTGTCTGCAATGCAAAGCATTTGTATATCTCCTGGACAGTTTGTAACCAACATGATACACACAAGAGTGCTGTTGAAAAAACAATAGTTCACAGCTGCACTTTATCACAAGCCCTTTTTAAACCATACCATACACTAGTAGATGGCACTTATTCAGAAACAACCATGCGTATATATACTGTTTCCCCTCAACAGCGAGTGTAAGCCTCGTTCTGGTCTATTTCCAAGTGTACCTCTCGGTGAAGTTTAACAGCCAGTGGGATTGTTCTACACTGGCATACGATGTCAATATCAACTTCATTTTGCTAGGGTTTATGACCTATGTAAAGGATTCAAAACTGCTGGTTGAAAATGGATCTGAGGACGGGGAAACGAAGGGAAGAAGCTCACTGAGCGATGGGATGGGCTTGTAAACCGTGGATGTCAGAAGGTGATGTTCGTCAGTTGACAGTTGATGTGATCAACAAGGGTGCTCTGCATAAAGCTGAAGCTAAGCAATTGACAAAGTAGGCCAGCTCAACTGGCCCTGTGATACGCAGGCGTGCATGATTTGCGTTTCCTGGTGTTTTTACGTTGCCTGCTGCGCGCGGAGTCCCTTCTCGATCTTCCAACTCTCAAGCGCAAGGTGAATTCATGACTCCCCACCCAGCTAAACTGGGGTCTCTCGAGTGGATCTGTTGGGAATGAGCACACGCTATGGCGCTAGTGCGAATCATCGGCAAACACTGACCCGCTCATGTGTTGAACATGCGGCATACATACTCAGCAACGCCTGATCAGGCTGCACAGTTTGGCACGATTGAGATTGATCAATGGAGTGGGTGGGGCGGCGGCGGAGCGAAGCAGCAACCCGATAGGCGGGGCTTAGGGAGCAGCCGCAATTGGTTGGCGGCGAATGTGCGCAAGTGTTGCGATAGCAGCGCCAAACAAACCTGAGAAAACATGGGAGATGAGGTGGAACGTCCCCCGCACAGCCTCGGACACATTGACCGGGGGAGGCAAGGCTTCCTTAACTATGAAATCAAGGTGAAGAACCAACTCGTCTACCATGCCAAAAATGATCGCGCCCAACAAACTCAACACACGCCGAAGGAAAAGCCGAAAGCTAGCGACCAGGAACTTTGTGATTGCAGCTGCAACGGCTGGGCGAGCCAGAAAACTGACCAACACCAAAAGAAAAATGCAGCGCAGGAAACGCATCTTCCAAATCCAGTTGAAGGCACCATGGCCCAGGGTTCTCCAGCTGAAAACATGCAAATACCTGCTTGGGCAGCAGCGCTGGTAGCCTCCGGCCTTCGGACCAGTGGCTCACATGCACGGGGTTCACTTTCCGGCTCGAAATCTAGCAGCCCTACATAAGCTTTTGCGAATTTCTGGAACTTTTTGTCTGCATCATATCTCTTTGCGCTCTTCAGGAACATCTTTGCACGCTTGGCCGGACAAACTCCCAGCTGCAACGACGGTTGCGCCATGTTCAGTCAGCAAGCTCTGCATAGGTCCTACACCAAGTCACAAGGGCCTGGCCATCAGTCTTTTGAGCTGACTTGAGGCGTGCAAACGGTGTGCGCAAGTTGTGTGCAGAATCACAGCCAAACACAGGGGGCCCAGCTTTTTTCAAGCGCGCGATTGCCTCTGGGGAAATCTTGTCTATAATTTGCGTCGACATTGCCAACTGTATGTAGTGCTCTAGAGACCTTTCCACAGTCCATCTGCCCAAGAAGCGCAAGGTTGAAATGCTTGCGCCCCTAGCAAAATACATTGTGGCACCTCCTCGTCTCAGACTGCCAGGAGAAAATTTGGGTCACCTAAACCTAGCTCGACTAGGAGTTGCTTGAACATGTTGCTGAAACAGCGACTACTACGAGGCCACAACTCTTGCGGGGAATCGTCCTCTAGGATGTCCCTTATTAACCACGCAATGCAATTTGGGTTGCTCAAAGTGACAAACTGCTGCTCACCGAATTGCCGCCGGTTTTTAGGTGAAACAACTCTTATTGCGGCAAGGTTTTGTCCCAAAGAAAAAGAACCTGGCAGCGCAAAATCAGAGTGCTGGAGTTGTAAGAGCTCCCCCGGACGCAACATGCATAAAGGGCCAAGTTCTAACAGAATAGACAAGACTATCCACAAGTGACGGAGGTTGATGTCTTTTTTCAACTTTCCCATGCGCCCTGGCAAGGCCAACCATGAAGGCCCAAACTGGCACTGGCAGCGGCCGCCTGAGCCTAGGCCTTTTCTGTTCTTCACAAACACACATGTTTTCCCACGTTGTTACAAGCTTGCCCTTCAAGCGCGGTTGGAGGCGCTGGCACCCCAAAATTGCATGTTCAATGTTTCACCAGTGATTGGCTACGATCTGCGGCTCGCGAATGTCTATAGAGGACATATTCACCTAGCACACGATCGGCTGCACTGCTACGCGCTAAAACAGTCTTCAATGTGAGGCAAAGTCTTTAATAGCGCTTGCGACCCATGGCTACTTAGTCTGGCCTGTCGAGACGCTCGTATTTCGCGGCGCGAAGGCACATGTAGTTGACACACGATTCGCACTGCTTAAAAAACAAACAACACGCAATTCCTCCAATGAATGCATCTATTGTAACATCCCTCGGCGCACTAACAGCATGCACAAAGATGAGCAGACATTTCTGGCGCTCCTTCTGCTGTGAAGTTTAGTAGCAAAAGTGTTTGACGAGTGTTAGTGTGAGGAGGGATGCTCTAATGCATCTATACAAAAAACACCCTAAGAAGTATTGGTTGCGCATGGCTGCGTGTGTGCCGTATACGACATGGTTTCCCTTACGTTGACACCCCTGCTCTAAAAACCTCTGGACAGCGGGCGATCTCTTGGCTTGCACAGCTGTTTGACTGGTTTTGTCCAACAAGCACTGCGACAAACTAGACTTGCCAAAATCCTCTGGGATAGGCTTTCCCCGGGATGGGAAGTCGGCCGGATTGGAGTGAGTGTCTACCCAGATGTTGGTTAGCGACAGGTTGCCTGCCAAGAGGTACGGCAAACACGACCTCAGCTTGTGGTTCATCTGCTTGGATGAACTGCGCCTTTTGCAAAGGCTCCTACGGTCACCCGTGAGTCACAAAGGTTCACAACTCGGCAATTGCCTCTACCTGAGTTTACCCTGTCCTTGATTTCACGCTTCACCATCTCCATTTCGAGGAGGTTTATGTGGTCTTTCCAGGTGAGCTTCGTGGCTTGAGTTACTTCCCACTTATGCTTTAGTAGTGTCGGTTAGACACTTTGGCGCCGGTTGCATGCATGTAGGGGGCGGAATGGCAAGGCTGTCCCAATCTAGCCTGGTGTACTCACCCCTCTTTTCCCCAAACCTGTAGAGCGCTTTTGCAAATGCCTTTGAAGTGAGTGTTGAGGTTCTGCCACCACCTGCTGCGCTGGCATCGCTTGCCGAGATCTGCACTGACACTGGCCATCTGGCACTGCTAAAAGCGAGGGGGAGCAACAAACTGGCTAGAAATAGCTCATCTCGCACATGGTGTGGGGGATTCACCGTGCTTGTTTCAGGCATGCGCTCCAAGTAGGTGTGATGAAAGGCGCACATGCACTCACGCCTATGCATATACGGGCGCACGAACAATCCTACCAACTTTTGCATGGCTTCCTTCGTTGTCCTCCCCATCTCAAGTAGTGCAGCAGTCAGTGCTTCGATCTGCCGCAGCTTGGCAATTGGAGCGCCAACCCACCCGCTAGCTGAAGAAACGGACGTTCCCCAGGCCTTGAACTCATATTGTTTGTCAAAGGCTTTCTTGAGAGACCTAGGAAGGCCCAATTCCTCATAACGTTTTCGGGCAGAAGAGGCGAGTATCTCGTCTTCTTGGGTGGTCCTCTCACGAGTGGGCTTCTTGTCTACTGCTTGAAATGTTACATGATCATCTATATACAAGCCTTCTAAAGTCCGGGAACAAGGGAAGACGCGTCCGTAAACTAACTTCTGCGAGTTTTTCAAGCAACCAGCAGCTTCGAGCACGCTCTCATGTGTGGCTTGGGCGATGTCAACACCATTTGTATCCCCCATACAAAGAACTGTGAAGGCCGGGAAATATTGCTCGTCGGGTATGAGACCCAAGTCCGGCAGTTTGGACCCAAGTATGGGTTTCCCAAAGCAATTTCGTGGTTTCCAGGCTTCCAAGTGGCGGATCAAATACAAATAGTTCGACAAGTCGTCCCCGCTGGCACGAACGCTTTCGGACCTTCCCAAAATTAACTGAGTGAGCATGGACCCGTTTGGGAGCTGGCACCCATTTAACCTACGTTCTCTCTGAGGTTTAGGGGCCTCCGATCATTAATCAATCTATCGCTTTCAGGTTTGTGTGGGACGCAAAACAACCCCCCCCTTAATGAGCTTACGCCCTTCTGCCAGCACCTGCGACCTAGGTAAAAAGTCAATCATGTTGGCCGCGTGCAATTTGCGCAGCAGAGGCGGCCAGTCTTCGTCCTTCGCTTTGTGGCAGGCTGGTGGGTCGTGATTTGAGCTAGGGCAGCTAAGGGTTGTTGGAATGTCTTGCGGCGTCTGTTCGAACTGCTGCAGCTGCTGTCCTGAAAGATGCTGGCGGGGATCTAATGTCCTAGCCTTTTCCGGCAGTGAAATCCGAGAGGGATCAACGGCCATTGCACCTTCAGGCTTTCCAGAAACAACAATGCTAGGGTCATATTGACTGAGTGAATTCGTTCAATTAATTCGGTTAATTGGGCTGGGCCTCTTTCCATGGTCCCCCTAGGATGGGCACAGTAATGAATTAAGTGGCGGTACGTTGTTTGGGCATAGCTCTCATGTTGGGCAGTCCATTCCCCTTGGGAGGCACGCTCAACTGAAGCTTTGGCAGCTGCGTGTGAACTCGGAGACCCGGAATCCAAGAAATTGAAAAGGGCCCACAAGAGATGCAACCAGTCAAAAGCCTCCCTCTGAACTTTTTTTGGAAGGCCTCGTCTTTTTACCCGGGGGCGCAAGCCACGGGAGCCTAGACGGGACAAACGACCTTGACCCAGCAGGCGCGCTGGATGTTCTGACCCCTGTCTGCTTCTGAGACCTAAGGTGGATCCTCCAATATCGAGCAAAAGATCCATGGATTGAATTAACAACATGAAAAAGGTGGCCAGCAAAGTGCTGGTCTTGGGCATTTGGCTTGCTCAAGGGAACCCGACTCACGACTCTGTCTCGTCGGGCTTTCTGGTTTTTGTCTTGCCTTTTCCCTTCTTGGCGCCCTTGCCTGTCTGACTGTCCTCCTCCGCCAGATCTGTGGTGGTGAGGCGTGGCTTGCTGGGCTTTTCTAACTCTCCCATCGCCTTCACATAACTGGCTACTACTTCGAATTCCTGGGCTTCTCCGCCGAACTTCGGTTTCTCTAAAGGATCGGGCAGATGTGTGAGGAGCCAGGCCGTGGCCCAACTTCCCTGGTCGAGGCTGCACTGATGGATTGCACGGAGCAACTGAAAAAGTTGCAGCGCACACTGCTCTGACTTTCCCTGCAGCAAAACTTCCAAGGCTTCCGAAATCCCGAAGTGAATGCGAAAAAGGCTCCGGTTCTTTCCCCAGTTTAGCTTTTTGGAAAAATCCGACAGAGTGTAGATAGCGTTGGGATGTGTTGCGCCCAACACTTCCTGCACATCCTTGATGTAGCGTCAAATATGCTTCTTTGGGTTCTTCCTCATTGCTGGCCTGGTTCTGGCGGTGGGCGCGCAAAGCCTTTCCAGCACCACGGAGTTTTTCCCTGCCACTCTCGGACGAAGTCTCGCTGGTCTCCTGTCCTCCGTGGGAGCCATGGACTCTTCCTTGCTCTTGTTTTTCTTCTTGCTTTGCTGTCTGAGTTCGTTCAAAATCTGGACCTGAGTGAGAGCAGAGAGGTCGGGAGCGGTGGCTGTGATCTGTGCCTTGAATTTGCTCTGTATGACCGTTGCAGCCAGGGCTTCAGGTTCATCTTGCCAGTCCCCTCCAACGATGATGGTCCAGGAAGGTGAGCAAACGAGCTAGGAGGTCTGCGTTCAGAGGAGATTGAAGAGTCTTTGCCGCTCTGAGGTAGAGGTTGACCACGAAGATGGTGAGAGCTTCCCTCTGAATCCCAATAGCAGTCCATCCGTTCCCTTCCTTGGTGTAAGTGTGAGCGTGGTGGCTTGGATGCCGTGGTCCATGAAGGGCCCTGCACACGATGACCAAAATCAGTGATGTTCCCAAAGATGAGATTGAGGGTCTCAAGGTGCTGCCTGTGCTTCTTCTCAGGTGGCTCAGGTAGAGCCTCTAAAGTGTCAGGGACTAGCTCGTCGATGGGCTCCTGAACAAGCCACAACTTAACCACATCCTTCTTGTGCTGATCAATCAAGTGAGGAATGGGTGCCGGGTAGACTTTATGCAATATGTATATATATATACATATATTATCCCCCGTACATTTTCCCTTGGGTGTCTTACATTACATTTCATAGACAAATTGTGTCTATAGAATGAGTTGCCTGGGATAAGTTGTCTATAACATGACAAGCCTTGTATTTATATAAAATGATTACCAGCATGTGAAAACAAATATAAAACATATCACAAACAAAAAACATCTATAAGATGAAGTTCTATAGAATGATCCCCTTGACATCTTGATCTTAACAACATACAACAATATGATCCCCCTGCTCGCTCTATAGAATGCCTTTCCTGCATCCTTGCACACAATCCCATCTGAAGTACATACTTGCTCAAGCAGCCCTCTATAAAATGATCTCCTGTGATGTTCAAATATATTCTGGAAATCTGAAACCACATATTCTATATAAAATGGGTGTCCAAAACCCATTTCATAGAGGAAAGTGATTGTCATTTCATAGAGCCTCATGTACGGGGGATCATATATTTACATATATGTATGGCACCCCCGCAGTGCGTCTGAAACTTCAACGAAAAAATGACCTCAGAATGCAGAATTCACTGCAAATAGCACTTAGAAGTGCAAAAAGGTAGGTCTTGGGGGTTACCATATATATACACCCCATATGAAGAGGTTTTCAAATCAAGAGTCTACATTGGTAATATGCTTACTGTAGAAACTCTAACCTTTACCCTATCAACGCCTTCCAACTTATCTCCCTGGCACTCTGACTCAAAAAACAAAGTGGGCAACCGACTGGATGCAAAGGAATCAGAGCCTTTCCGTGCTCATGGTCCACTTCCGTAGGATGTTGCCTTTCAACATTTCATCACTCTTCCATCCACCAGGTCACTCCGTGTGCGTCCGCAGTAGCCACACCCACTGCCCTTGGAAAGTCAAAGATGTCCTGAACGAGCCCGACGTCGTGTGGAGACCGAGAAGCCCTCGTCGGCAGGGCACCGAGTTTCGTCCCTGCCATCTAGGCCATCTTTGCGGAAGCGGGGAACCGGGCGGCATCGGGCGGGGCGGCTCGTGTGCATTCAGGTTCGTGGCTTCGGCCTTGATGCTTTTTGTTTGCATTGAGAGACAGTCGGGACTCGTTCGTCATGACAACTCCGTTACCTTTGAGGTCCGAAATAACGTCAACGGATCCCGGGTCGGTCCTGTGAGATGGTGGCTTCTCTGCCACGGTTCACCGAGAAGAGGTTCACTTCATTGAAGTGCCCGGAGGTGTCCCGCGAGAAGATCTGCAACCAGGAAGGTCGTCTTGTCTGAGACTAGGCCAAGAGACGTAGAAGGATCTGAAGGGTCTGACACTGTCTGACGCCTAAGGCCTAAGGTCAAGAAGTCACGTGAAAATTGGCCCCCTGAACCGGCGGGGTGGGGCGTGTGTTCTGGTTTGTCGCACTAGACCGGTGGGTGCTGGGGCAGCTGGGGCATCTGATCGATCACGGACCATCCCCGGTGAGTCCAGCCGAGGCCTCATAGAGATAGACTTCGTTGGGCGATAGCCCTGTGACCTGGGCAGTGGCATGGCCATCCTGGTTCCGCAAGAAGCCGGCGTAGTCGCGCGTATGAGTCCAGCCATGAAGAGACACTGTGTAACCTGGGCACGCGGACCGATCCTGGAACGTCCCGGCCTCGGAAGGGGCGGGGCTTGAGGGTGGGGCAGGGAACCATGACAACGGAGGATGGAAACGTCCCATGCAAAGCACTTGGGTGTTTCCAGAATCCTCCTCATGAGGACCAGGTCTTCTGGTGTCCCTTGAAGCCCTGCAAATGCACAGACGCTGGAAACCAAGTCAGAGGTAGATTATCAACCCATCGATTGACAACATAGCCATAAGATGCTCCAGCTTCCTTCACACTCCAGCTTTTGGAAGGCTCTGCGGTTCTCATGCGGTCCATGCGCGCACCAAGCAGCCATTGTCCAAGGTCAGGTGAAAGGTCTGGTCTTGAACATTGTCCGAGTAGTGTGCACCTGGCAGGAGCATATGGGAGCGGCTCCAAAGCCATCCACCCCAAGAAATCTCATAGGCTCATAGATCATGTCCTTGCTGTGTTGCTAACTCTTCGGTCACTGTTGAGCTTCACAATCAGACAAGCGAAGCTGATAAAACACTAATGAACTTCCTCTGCTGAATCCTTCCTGCCGGGGAGGTCCAGGCAAAATTCTTGCTACGATGTGTTTTGATGCAAAAGTCCCTCTTTCCAGAACTGACGCCTTTTCTGGATCTATGGTCTTGTACGAACAAGAACATGCTTCCTAGCTCGACCAAGCTCGTGCTGGGAAAACTGTGGCGATTCCACTGGACCCGGTGACATGGGGCGATTCCATGGAAATTCTCCGCACCTAAAAGGCAAGAAGAATGCGACCTCCCCCCACACCCGCACCGCGTTCTCGTCCTCCCTCGTCTACCATCCCGGTTGGTCGTCCCCCCTTAGGCCCTTAGGCCACGAAAGCCTCCGGGATTCGACATCACGAAGTTGCTCTCGCGGAAGGGCTTGCGCGGCTCCGCCTCCAAGAAGGTTCCCGCCTCCCAACGCTGGCGAGCAAGAGGTCGAGGTGCCGACGCAGGCGGCGTCGATCCGACCGCAGGCGTCGGGGTGACGTGTCTCCCGACGCCCCGGAGAAGCTTCTACGTGAGCATGGTCTACTCGTAGAGGTTGTCTAGTGGATAGAAATGGGACATTGTGAGACCAAATCCTGTTTTGCCATGAAAAGAAACCCATCCGATCCCTGCTCCCTCTCTGCCTGCTCTCCGGTGTCCCATGTCTCACCGTCGTTCCCAGCTTCCCCATGTCTCACCTTCAACTTCCACTGGAGATACTCCACGGTCGTGAGCATCTCAGCATCACTCAAGGCACGATCCCAGGTAATGACCTCCATCACACCAAAGTCGGACACCTGAGGTCGCTCCACCATCGTGGAATCGTGTTTTTCGGGGCCCAACGACCCGGGGTCAGTGACCAAGAGGGTCGAGATCGACAAATATGCTTGGAATCATCCGTGTTTGGTGGAACAGCAGCGGTGGCAGGTGGCAAAGGATCATCAAACAAATTGTGGCCATGCTAGAGGAAACGGTTGGGAGATGGTTTTTCACAAGCGCACACTCTGACCTGGTTTGAGGATGCCTTGGTTCTGCTCCTCCATTCCCTCAAACCTCTGTCCCACAGCCACCAAGTCCTAAGTAGGTCATCCATCTGTGCTAGAACCGACCAAGTTTGGCCAACCCATCTATTCCAACTGAGTGATCAAGAACAGCTCCATCAGGTGTCGTTCAATCTTGCAATACAAGGTCAATCCTAAATGGATCTCAATGGAGTATTGGAAGGCTGCTTCAGAGTTGTCTTTGACAAAGCCCTGGACGTGAGTCATGCTGGGATTGCTGCCTACTACCTGTTAACAAGATACAAGTTCGAACTTCTACCGTAGATGGACAAAAAATCCAACCCAATTACAGCTCGGTGTTCTGAAACTAACCACAAACGCTTGCTTGCGGAGAATTCAGAATTCAGAAGAAGACAAAACAGAGAAAAGCCAAAAAAGTGGGCACTCGCGATACGGGCAAATAGGAGTTCCGAGAGAGGTTGTCTTCCGACACCTGCAAAACCATGGAGAAAGGTGCCGGTCAGAAACTTGCAGCCCTTGCTTCCTAAGGACGTGTTCATGTTTTTGTCGTATTTCCTCCATTCTACTGGATCTGTAGCTTTGAGTTAACCAATCAAAAACGACCGCCGCGCACGGAAGGCGCACGCACACCATGCAGCGGCGTGGCGCGGCCTTGTAGGCGCACCGAACGTCCTCGCCTCATTATACGCACCATTGTTGATCACCAAGGTTTGCTCCACTCCTCAGACCAAGTCATCAGATAGGATGGAGCGGAAAGGATCCCAACTCTTCACTCCCTTCTCTCTTCCACCGCGGTGTCGCAACTGGGAATCCTACTTGGGCGCGTCTTTTAATAAGGAGACCCCCCTCGCCCTCTCTCAGTAGACTGGTCGAACGGAACGACTGGGAGGTCTCCCTATTTGAACGACACATCCATTTATATAGTTCTTTTTCCTCTGCCTACTTCCTCCTGCTTTGGAATTGGAGTCCTGGGAGGTACGATGGCCGTCTCAACGGACCCTGACCAGTCGATTTGGCACCGAACATTTGGCGTCGCCACGTCACAGGCCAGACACACCTCAAACCATGGGCCTTAAGCTTGTTTCTAAGGAAAGAAATGTGGCCAGAAACCTCAAAAAATAATAACAATACAGTAACAAAAAAACATCCAGTGACTCACATGGAAACTGCAAAAGCCACAGACTTCCCCTCTTCCGAAACCTGGCAGACCATCATTTGCTCGTTTCAGAGAAGACGTTTTTTCCTGAAATTGGGGACATCTCCTGGAATGCTGGACCATGTCCGTCCCTGAGGATTTGGGATGCCTGGGGGATGCCGTTCAGGCGCATGCCTGTGGCAAGACGTGATCTTCACACTCCTCCCCTTTTTGAATCATTTGGATTTGCAATCGAAGTGGAAAAAATAATCCGAGAACGAGTCGTCTTCTTTTGGCCATTGTCCACCTCCACTCCCATGTGGTTGGTGTTTCGTCCTTTTTGCCTGGTTTGAACCCATCATCTTGCTCGAGCTGACTGGAAGATCCCCCTGGCACTGCCCGCCAGGCACTGCCAGGCAGATAGTCTCACACCGAGAAAAACGGGAAGGGAATTGCCCAACTCCCACGGTGACGTCACGCACCACGGCGACGTCAGGCACGTCATGCCACAGCGTCCGAGGTCCCCCGCCGTGTCGCTGGCCACGTTCATGGTGGCGTCGTAGATCCGGGCGGCGGCGTTGGTGCCGCACATGACCAACCAGTCCATGAAATTCCGATTCCTGAGAGATTTGGGGTGGCCGGGGGAAACCGAAATGTTAAAAAGTTTTAAGAAAAATCATGCCCCAGGTAAGGGGATGAGTTCTCTAGATTGGCTTGAGGGTCGTTGACATATGCCACAAATTCCAGGATGCACCCAGCTCGGGAAAAAGAAACATGTTGCTTAGCAAAACCAAGCTTCCGGTGGGTGTGCGTCACCCACTTGTCATAGTGCGCCACCCCCACCTGGTGGTCTGGCTGGATGTCGGGCCAATGGGAGTGACTTTTGGGTGGTGAGCTCTTGGGTGGACAGGTTGAGACAAGTGCCCACGGGAGGAAGAGGCGGTGTGGTAAAACAAGAATATTCAAAGGCCACACAAGTCAAATGAATGTTGCCCACAGCAATATTCATTGATTGGTGGTGGCCTTTGAATACCCAGAGTCGTTTATTCACTTTTGCCATTACCAAGCAACAAGCTCAAGTGCCCACAGCCAATTCCGAAAGCTGAACCTGCTTTTTTGGGCGGCGGTCAGTTCACCGGGCAGGCCACATCCCTCCAACCACTGGGCACCATCCAGGAGAAGTCAGTATCAGTATAAGGGAGTCATTGGTCTCTGGATGGTGCCCAGTAATTCCCATCGGTCACCATCCATTTCGGATAATGTTGGGTGAGGACGACGTCGTTGAGAGACCGGCCGTTCACAGCGCCAGGTCGAAGCGTTTCCGGTGCCGGACAACGGCCTCGACGATCGAAGCGACATCCGATCAAAACAGCCCATGACTATCCATCATCTCTTTCAGCGGAACCCTGCCGAGCCCTGGATTCCTCTATAAATCAGGTGCGAGCCTTCGCCTTCCTCCGTCGACTTCACGACTAAAGAGGAATGAAAGAAGGTCTGGTCTGGCAGTCTACTGACTCGTGCAGACTCGTAAGGAATAAGGCTGAAGAAGGGTGGGTGGATCCGACAAGTGGCATCTCTTGTGGGGGTTCACTCCCTCATTCCCTACTAAGCACTGAAACTCAGTCTAACAAGCCTGTTCAGACCAGTGCCCATGGAGGAAGTTCTTCTCAGCCGTTTGCAAAATACGTCCGCGGTGCCAGCCAGTGTAGCCTCGGTGTCAGTCGTCTTCACAACCGGTCCTCTTCGCTGGTCGATGGTCTCGAGCGCGAAGCGACTGTAGACCGGTGGGACGTGAAGAAGGATGGAAGGTTTCGGATCGCAACGAGGCGCTGAACTCTCGTCGGGAGGTTGCCCAACATCTCCAAACCGCCCAGGTGCTGAGAGAACATGAGAGAACACTCTGTCTGTTTCGCTGCAAACGACAGCAAACACGAGCCCAGTCTGGAGTGTGGTCTCCTGCGTGGTGAACAAGCCAAAGTACCGCTACATTCCAGGTGCAGAATGGTTGGTGGACTAGATCGGTCAATGTTGTCCAACCCACTGGTGAAAGATAAACCCTCACCAGGCGGCGGCTATGGGAACTGGACAGCACTAAGATCTTTGCTGAAAAAGTACTGAGCATAGACACGATGAATGAACTTTCCACTACCAACAATGCGGCCTCGCCTTTCCGGCGCCCGCAAAAACGGCACGTCGCTCGGTCATGGCACCGGTCACGTCCGGTCACGTCTGTGGCTATGGGTCATGGCAGGACGAACGACCACGGAACATGAAGCAGAAGGTCCACTACCTGACATGGTCAACTGGGCCGGTGAGGAACGGCTCCGGGTGCCATGACCCACAGCCGTTTCAGGAGTTCTTAAGAAGCTCACAACCGGAGCTTGCCTGCTTGATTCGCATGAGCAGGTAATCTAAACAAACTCCATTGCTCCTTCCTGAGTACTAGACCTGTTGTCACCACGTGGTGCATTTTGTCCAACAAATATCCTTCCCATACCTTCCCGACAAGGTGGCTCCGGAACAAATCACCATCAGATCCATTGGTCTCAACTCATTCGCATCATCCAGTCTACGGCGTCTGCGGCAGACTGTGGCGGAGTTTGGACTCAGAGGGTCATTAAGCTCCACTCGGGTGAATCTCACTGCCCAGCGCGGCGCTCGCCCAGTCACGGGTCACAGAGCAAAGGGTGAAGGTGCGTTTGAGCACTGTGCCAAAATAGAAGCCAGCCATGGAACCGCCTGCATTCCCACCGTGGCCGGAATGCTGAGTTCATCAACCCCGCGTCGTCGAACGGAACGCGCCGACGAACGGAACGCGCCGGGTTGCACGGACCAGATGTGGCCCGCACTCCAACTGGCGTGCTGGGGATATTGGCTGTGAGTCCAAACCTGGACAAACCCTGGTAGGCTGACCTCCCAGATAGTCCATTCTGTTCATTTAGGTCAACCCAGGTCTCCTGGTTTGACCCACAGCCAGATCTGGTTCAAGGAGGACCCGGCAGCCGTCTTGTTCAAGACTAGGGACTGCAGGACCCTGACGATTTGCCTGCGCCTCAGTGGTAGGATGATGTTTGAAAGACCAAACCAGTGAAAAACACTGAGAGACAGGAAGATCTGTGGCCCAAGCGATCAAGTGAGCACCTGAAAACCAACCGAAAGCACGTGCAAGCCGCTAGCCTGAAAGCCCCAAAATGGACCTGCTCCGGACAACAATTGGTCCATCACCAGCAACACCTTTCTCTTCCAGGAGACCCCAAGGGGTGTTGTTTGGACCCTAAGGGGTGGTTAATAGACACCCCTTACCACCAATTCGCACCCCCAGCCGGCCCAGCAACCCTCTCCCAGCCGCGCGGGCTTCCGCCGCCTGCCACATAGGCCACCGGTCGATCGGCCCCGTAGCCCGCCAGCACCGTGCGCTGCGCCGAGGCGCGCACGGCGACGCCCTCCCAGTCGCCCACAGAGCTCTTCCACGTGGAGCCTCCCCGGAGTGGCAACCATGCTGTTCACCCCCAATCACTGTGGGTGTCCGGTCCTAGTCCTAGTCCTCCAATCTGACCCACTTCTACCACTTCTGGAAGAAATGAGGTCCTTTTGAAAACACCGGTGTCATCGATCCCTGGTTTCACTTGAAGGTCGCGACACACACCCTCTGGAACCCCGAACCCAACGTTGTGCGGTTTCCGGGTTGGTTTGGGGGCAGATTCCCGGAGACTCTGGACTCCACTGAGGCTCGAGACTCTGGACTCGAACTTGGCAGCTTTCAAAAAGAGATGAGCTCCCCCAGAAATCAGCTCTAAGCCAGCAACCAAGCAACCAAGCAACCAAGCAAGCTCACTAAGAAAACCCAAGTCTACCAGAAATCAGCTCTATCTATCTGGGACTGGATGGATGGAAGCTGGAGGACGGCCTACTGACCAGATGTCCCACCGATGTCCGGAACGGGTTCCGGGAAGAATACAGGTCCCCCTCGGAGTGCCAGGTACACCAAGTGGTGGTACAGGAAAAGGGGTAGGTATCCCCTAGCCTCTATTCATCAACCAACCAAATCGCCGCCAGAAGCGGTCATTGGGGTGGTCGTGGCCGGCACACCTCCAAAAACAGGGGTGAAACATGGTGAAACCAAGCCCCAGTGAAGGACATGTCTTGGAAAGACCTGGCAGCTGGTCATACGAGTCATAGATCCAAAAGTGAACTTGATGTGTGAGATCCAAAAGGTCGAGTCGAGCTAGTGTGGTGCTTTGGTGCTATTGACCTCGGAGCATGAAGACGAGGCCATCGCTCTTAGGTTGGAGGCCATCGCTCTTCATGTTCCCTTCCGCATCCTTACGCTGCTTTCACGAGAGGATTGGATGCACTGCTTCACCGAGCCTTGTCCTCGTGGAAGGGGTTTTGGGGAAGGCGAGAGACCCAACAGTCGAAGGCTTCAGCCACGTGTGACTTCACTTTTCTGAGTAAGCACTTGCCCTATAGTCTTGACTGCCAAAAGTACCCCCCCACTTGGGGCGCGGCTGAGTCTATGAAACGGTCTATAAACATCCCACCAGACTGATTGGCCACCAGTAACTACAAGGCTCCGTTCGGAAGTTCTTTTTTCGTTACAGTTCATGGAGCTGTCATCAAATGGAGTTCTATGTTTGATTTCACCAATCGATGTGTTTTTTTTTTTCGAACAGCGAGTAGCTGTCTTGTCTTGGCTCCTCTTTAATGCAATGCTAACCGAACCAACAAAGTTCTTGATATACCTGGTACCAGTCAAGTTGCTTTTGCAACAATTGCATTCTTGTAAGCCTTATTTCTTTAGCCACTTGACTTCCTCTTTCGGTCATCTCTCAAGTCCCATGTGCATGAACCCCTATATATAGCAGATTCTTGCATTCTCTAGCAACCACCTGCATTCATTCCCGCACCTTCCTTGCACCTGCCTCTCCCCCCACCACGTTCGGCCTGCATGTTCGCTCTTGAACCATGCGACCATCCCGCTGGCTGGTGGCTCCACCGGCGGGGGCGGCACCACCTCTGGTACCACGGCGTTCCCGGCAGCGGAGCCTGCGCGACACCCTGAAAACCGGTCTCGGTGTCCACCGGGCGAACTGGTGCGACGAAAGCAGGGAATGAGGGTGGCTGGATCCAATAGAATCTCTATTGGGGGCGAAACTTCCCTTGTTCCCTACGAGTCGCACCAGTCAGTCTTCTTCCAGGACTTCCCAGCGATCACGAAGAGTTCAGTCGGGGACTGGTCACTGACCAATCCTGAAGGTCCGGGCCACGACGGGCACCTTTTTGAGGCTCGGCAGCAGTGGCACGAAACATCCATCTATGGTGACTAGCCCTATAGGGCTCCAACCACCTCCGTTTCGAAGGTGGTTGGGGTAGGTGCCAGGGGGGTCTAACCGCCGAACCTGAGGATACGGTTGGAGCCCTAGGGTAGTGATGCGGAACGAGATCGATCGAGTCATGTTCCTCTGGAAGAAATGCCTGGAGTCACATCGCTTCTATCCATTGGGACAGCAAGTGAAAACCTGTGACTACTCACTGCAGCTACTCCAGCAACCCGCTGGTGCTCATCCTTTCCACAACAAAACCACCTGGACGACCCAAATAAGGATGATTTTCCTGGTGGTTCAGGTGGTCATCCGGCTCCCTTGGTGGTCACCTGAACCACCCAAACAAAGCATGCATTCGTCTCTGATGATGATTTGGTCGTACTCGCGGCTTTGACCACGCTGCGCCGCAGAAGACATGCACTCCCGCAAGGCAACCAGCCCCCCCAGCGGACAAGCGTACCCGGCGTACCCCAACACCCAGAACATGAGGTTTGTCGTGGGTGTCTGGTTGCTGTCGTGTCAACTCGAGTGACTCAAGAAGGAAAGAAGGCCAAAGCTCACGACGTTCTTCACGGTGGCGGCACCGGCGGTTCACCGGCGGTGCACTGGCGGTTCATCGGGCCCACCTGAACGGAACGCCATCGTGAGGAACGACCTCCGCAAGCTCGTGGCCCAGCACAGCTCGGCGTCGGCCACGCGACAGGCACGCTGCCGGGGCAAGGCTTTGAGCTCACCTCGAGGTCTCCAAAGGTCACGAGGCTTCCGAAGGGTGAAGCGAATTTTTGGCCCCTTCGAATGCGAGCACCAAAAGAGAGCAGGACAGCCTGAATCACTGGATCACTCCCTGGTTACGGTGGGCGTTTGACTGTCTTGGATGACCATGAACTCTGAAGACCAAACAGGTGGTGAACTCACTCCACCTTGGCCCATGAAGAAAAACAGGACCCACCCTCATCCCCCCCACGTCGCCGCTCGGTCACCTTCCAAGCTGAACTCCCTCACGAGCGTATCGCAGCCCTGGCCGTCTCACGGCCGGTGGCCGAAGACACATCCGGTGGTGACTACACGAGGATCGGGTCGTCCTACCAAGGAGAGGGCGGAGGGTGGCACACCAGACAACCGCCTGTGCCACCGTATGTGGCCGAACACGTGTGCAATCCTGCATGTATCGTGCCGCCTATATATAACCGCAATGCAGAACTCACCGCAAGTACGAGTGATGGCAGGATTGACACCAGTTTTGGGGGGCGAAAGAAACCGAAGACTTTCAACACGCATGGTGCCAGGTTGGGTGACCAACATCTGAGGGGAAAAAACAGGAGAACTGAAATTCCTGGAACTCCACTTAGTAAGAATCGATTGCAAATCAACGGCTTGCTAACGGGTCGTTCAAGAAAAGAGTCTGGGCATGAAACACGGAGAAAAAGAACAGACACGTTCGTCGAGCCACAACCCTTTTCGGGAGTCCCGATCCGGAGAACGTCCCGGAGAATGTTATTCGCTCTTCCGAAAACCGAAAACCGAAAACCGAATTACGTTTTTGCCATTTTCGCCAAAAAAATGGTCCGGGTACCTCCGAAGACCGCAAGCCGAAGGCCGAATCCCGAAAGCTTGGCCCGGCCCCGAATAACGAAAATGTTATTCGCGAAGGACGAATAACGAAACGCGAATACCGAATTACGTTTTCCGGAGCCCCGAATAACGAAATGTTATTCGCGAAGGACGAATATAGTGAAACGCGAATACCGAATTACGTTTTCCGGAGGCTTCTCCGGATCACCACTGCTTTTCGGCCACAACCGTCGACCCACCATGGACTCATCTTCCGTGAAGACTCTTAAGGAGTCCAACACCTTCAAGGGAGATATTGGACCCAGCCATGTGGCGCCATGTGCGATGAGGTGCCCAGTCAGTCAGTGTATCCTTGCGTGTCAGCTTTGGAATGCCGGTGCTACATGGAGGATGCAGGCAGAGGACCCAAAACCTCCACACGATGTCAAAGGAATCCAGAAACCAAAAAGATAAACTTCTGTCCTCTTTCTCATCCTTCACCTCCCAACGAAAAATCTGCCATGGATCTTCCCCCTCAAAAGCATCGCCATCCTGCCATGATCCTCCTTCCGTCCCTCTTCTCCTCTTCCTTTCGATCCTCGTCCCGGCCTGAAAGAGTCGGCAGGTGGCGGCGCCGTGTTGGGCGCCACTCCAAAAGAATTGGCAATCGGAGTGATCCCGGCAGCGCGCCTCGCAGTCCGAGGGCTCCAACAGCTCCTCCTGCGGGACCGGTGCGGTCCGGCGTGAGCGTTCGGCGTCCCGAACGCAGCGATCTGAAAGAAGGACGTGGAGGGTCGACATCGAAGAGGGAGGGGAAATGAGGATCTGAATTTCGAAGGTAAGATAACGTTTTCATGTGAGTGGGTCAATGGTTTCGGCCCAAGCTAGCTGTGCCAGCCAGAAAGCCAGAGATTGGTCTCCAAGAACACTTCTGATCCTGTTCGGAGCATGTGTTCTGAGCACAACCAGCGTCTTCGAACCCACTGATCAGCAGAAGAAAAAGACCAAAAAGGCTTTGTGCAGTGCAGATGTCCTTGAACGTCTTTCTGTTCAGCCACAAAACCACGCATTTTCTCCCTGACCCAGCGCCGCGGAAACCTGCCTCCGTCTGGAATTGAATGCCGATCTTGGGCAAGAGCTGCCGAGACGGGCACACGAACTGACCACTGACGATGATGAAGGGGCTCGGGATGTAGTCCTAGGCTCGACGCATCAGTCGCACTGCATGCATCATAGACGTGAAAAAAAGAAGCTCGGACATGCGGGTGCAGCACATGAAACCCTTTTCCGGTGTGGGAACAGAAATGCATTTGCCGGAAAATGCGATCTTCTTTTTGCTTGTTGTGACATCAGCTTAATTGTTTGTTTCGAGCATTGACACCTGATTTATTCTTTGGTTGAGCGTTCTGTAATCAATCCTTGTTAAACTTTCTCCCGCTGTTCACAATTCACGATCTCTTTCTCAAGCTAATGATTGCTTCAACGCTCAGCCATTCTGAAAAGCTCAATTGCTTGTACTACTTCCTTGAACACGGTTTCTGACTCTTGGGCACTCGAAAATGACACCTGACTCGGTGTGGAGAAGGGGAACGGCTGCTCATCTCTTCGCAGCAGTGATGTTGGATGACTGTCAGACAGACCAGTGCACACAAACTGACACCCACCAGACACTCTCAGAACAGGCCGCACCCACCACACCCAGCACCGGTCGCTCCGTTCCGCACTGCAGAAAAGGAGTCATTCTGGCTCTCGGCAGGCTGCTCTTCGAACTTCTCTGCGTTCACCGGGGCCCCGGTGGACCAGGCCGGCGGCGCGCAGTCGCAGGGATGCAGCCAGTAGTCGGAGGGCTCCGGCGTTCCGGGATCATCTAAGATCAAGGGTGGGAGGCCCTCGTCCTGGAGAAGACAAGAGTGATACCCGGGACCCGTACCTGAAGTTCTGCCCTTTTGAGGCCGGTGTTCCTCTACAACATGGGTTTGCTGGTCTTCTTTGACACATGAAGAAGAACAATACAGGTCGCCCAGTCCACAAAAAAGGTCTAAATCTATGATCATGTTTTTTGGAAAAAGCTCGGGGAAAAACACGCCCCTTCCTTCGCGTCTTTTGGAGCTTCAAAAAAGCTCGTGACAACGCCTCCGTGCCAGAGCAAGCGACGCGTTGGACGATCTGAAAAAAACGTGCCAAGCACGACGAGTTCACGAACGAGCCATGATCTGAACATGTCTCCTCTCGCACCAGGATTGGACAGAAAATACATAGTCCGACACATGTGGTTGTGCAAACCAGGCTACCCGAGCTGACCGACAATGAAGAGAATTGAATAGCTACTAGACATGGTCAACCTTCCAGGCATCAGGGCTCCGGGTGCCATGATCCACAGCCATGTGAGAAGGGTGTTCAGTGGTTTCTGTCGACTCGCGTGTGCCGGGCCCGAGGCTCGCGAATGTGCATGGTGCTGGCCAACCGAGAAACACCGATCGCAGGGTCCGAATGAACGATCGAAGCGGCAGAATGTGACGCCGGGTTTAGGGTTTAGGGTCTTTTTGGGGAGAAAACCTTCACCCCATAGAATCTGTTCAGTTTCAAACCCCTGTGCTTGCACGGTATGCCCAGCAGTTTTGGGCATCACCACCAAGCAATACCCACGCTTAGTTGGTGCGCAGCCAGTTCGCAGGGCACATCTATTCAACAAATGACTGTGTCATAGTAGCTGTAGTAGTGTTCTCCCTATAATATTCACACAAACCCACAATCTCATCCGTCTTCAGTCGAAATTGGATCCCAAAAAAGGGATTTACACCTTCTCAACTTATAGCCATTGACTGACCTGTAAGTCACCCCGTAGAAGTCCAAAGACTATCTTTTGACCGACTGATGTAAAGGAATGTCCTAGACGCGGGTCATCTAAAGACCATTCTTTTTATAGTCCCGGGGCACCTGTAAGTCCGATACCAACATCCATCAAACCTTTTGACCTTTCGATGCCCACAGGTCCCCGGTCCTCCTCCTCCCCCAGCAAGAGCTTTGTTGGACACGCGTCCAGTGCGAAGGACACCTCGAAGGTGGAGGAGGTCAGGTGGTGCAAATCTCCCTACCGAGCCGCTCATCCCTTTTCCAACGTCTCTCCTCTCCAGAAGCGGCTTCATCTTTCGTTCGACAAAAAATGGAGGAGAGAAGATTGCTGACCTCTGGCGCGGGCCATCTGGACACTCCTTCTTTTGGTCTGGAAAAAGCCGCTGAAACCCCACCCTGCCCGGGGCTCTGCCCCGCCTGGCTGGAGGCCACGCAGTCCAGGACGGGACCACGCAACTCGAAGCTTCCCAGCGCCTTCCTGGCGAAAATCGTCGGGGCGCTCGGCATAGCCGGGGTCCTGCTCAGTGGTCGGGGCGCTTAGCTTTGCGCTGTCGCATCAGCAACTGGTGTGTTTGTGTGGGTTTTTGGAAAGAGTTACTGTATCCACATGGATGTTCTCTCCACATAGAAGCCACCCAGCAATTATCGGGGTCATCCACTGCCCGACTCTTCGATCAGTGCTCATATGGATAGATGTCCCTCATCCTTGGCCCAGCCCGTCATCCTGCGCCCAAAAATGCAGGAAGTGGTGAATAGAAGGAACCGAGCATCTCCATGTAGTCAGCCCCGTTGATCTTCTGCAAGACCCACTGCCCAGATGAACAGCCATCCCCAGCACGGTTCTTATACCTGGCTGCGGCACAGGTTTCGGGGTTCACGGTCTCGGCAGAAAAACTGCGACGACTCCAGGGTTCCCCGATTTGGGGAGGGCAGGTCTGAATTTTTTGCGCCGCCAGAAAGAACAAGCCACTGCGGGGAAAGAAAGAAACATCCATCCAATGATGGTCCAACCTTGGGAACAATGAGGGGTCGGCCCTCAAAAGAATCCACCAAGCCATATTCCAAGGCCATGAATGCCCCAAAATCCGATGCCTTCCCGGATGAAAGATTTCCACCCCTCGGGGTCGCTGTCAGATCGAACCTCACGCGGCCCCCCCCGGGCGGCCCCGATGGCCCGATGGCCCGACGGCGAGGCGGCCCGGGGCGCAAGTAGACGGCATCCTCCGGAGTGACTTGCTCCCTTCGGTACATCGTGCCACCCCTTTGGGCGTCGCGGCCCATGGGGCAATACCTGTCGCAGGGGCCGGGGGGGGCAAGAAATGGGGGGGGCGAGGTGAGCAGTGACTGAAGCGGGTCCAAAGCAGGTGGTATCCGGGTTCAGGGGGGTGGACGAAAGGTTGAGCTTAGGATCGCTTTTTGCCATCTTTTGACATCCGTTTTAGACCTGTTTGAATCTTTCAGATGCACTCCTACACTATGACTCACTTCCTGGAATTGGTGCAGTCCACCTCCAAGTTATGGTGCTTGGGTGATGCCAAAGGAGCCGGATGGCAAGGCCCGAGACACTTGGCTGGTCGAACAAGGCAGGTTGAAGCAAAGAACTCGAGCCACCAGACAGTGGGACAAGGCGGTGGATTTGGGTCGCACTGTCCCTTCTCTGATGCAGTGGGCAGTGGATTTGTGGCTCTTGTCACGCGGGCAGCACGTCAAGAAACGTGTCGAAAGTGTTGCTCTTCCATGTCGAAACCCTGTGAATCTGCCATTTTTAGCCATGCCCGGCCGTGACAAAATGTGTCTCCTGCCCCAAACGTATGCACCACCACCTCCATGCCCCATGCATGCCACCCAGCACCCATTTTGGGCGAAAGAAAGGTGCTCCCAAGCACTCGCCGCACGCGCACGAGCGACCGTCTTTCCCGCACTTTCGCCGCATCCCGCACGCGCCTGCCCGACAAGTACCATTTGGGATGCTGCACCTGCATGCAGGTCCCCTCATCCGTACAGTTGGTGACCTTGGCGTTGACCTGGCAGACATGCGGTTCGGCCCCCGAAAGCGCGCCGGTGGATGCTGAAGGGTGGAAGGGCTGGAATTCTGTGCTACAAGTCCACTTTGGCTTTCAGGGCACTTGTTTGGCAGTCGTTTTTCCTCAATCCACATTTTTCTGTTGTGTTCAGCCTCATTCCTTTCAGCTGTTGAGTTCTTGTGAAAGGAGAAAACATCTACCCACCCGTTGAATCCCACCCACTTCGTCGAGAAAAACCCAAGCAAAGTCAGCGCCACCATCACAGGGCTTCCGTCGGAGCGGCCATCGTACCTGCGGAGCCCCAGGGGACCCGCGCGTGATCTGGGTGCGCGGCACACACAAACACGGCACAGGTCTGTGGTTTGCAGTGAAACCCATATGGGTGAGCTCCAAATTTCGGAAGAAGCTCCCATTGGGGAGTTGATCAGTAGAACACATCAGTTTGATGGAGCTTCATGGGCTCATCAATTTGATGGACGTGTGGGTGAGAAGGCGACATCTCTCGGTCTGGAGGGATTGGACTGGTCATTTTTGAACACCTAGCTGGCATGATGTCAAGGGATTCTTTGATCAGACCAGGCAGCAAATGATGAGACAATCTTTTTGACCGGTGGTTAACCTGGCAGGTGAACCTTTAGACTCATCGCCAGGCTGACTCAAAGCCTTCCAAAGCGCTTCTGAAACTGAAACCCACCTCCCATCACAGCCCCTGTCTGAAAACGCTCAAGGGCGCCTGAAGCAGGTTGAGGATTCCCAGCGGTAGTTGGCACACAATGCACTTAAGCGGCACCTGCAAGCGGCTTCGTGCTTAGCAGGGATCTGAAAAGGACGCCTGTTTGAGAGATTCACCCCCAGCCCAGTCAGTAGGCTCCTCAGAACACCCAGACCCTTTCTTTGGTTTTGCAGTTTCGCCCACCCAGTCATACACCACCGCTCCGGGCTTCTGTGCCTGGTGCGACATTGCTGCTCGCTGCCGGCGTTGGGATCCACAATGCCGATGCCTTTCAAGCTCTGGGGCACCCAGCAAATGGAGTCCTGGCGAAGGAGCCATGAGGGTGTAGTATCTTAATGGGGAAAACTGCCTGGCCCAATGGGTTGTGGTCTCTTTTCCTTCTTCCACGGAGTCTTTCGCGGGTCTCCCTATTCCAATACACATCCATGAAGCTTTGTTTGGAGCTGCTCGAAATGCAGTTCTTCTTCCCCCCCCTAGCACGACCCGTGAAGACCTTGTGATGATCCTTTTGTGTAGATGATTTCTGGGGAACTGGTTGAAGCTGGGTATCTGTTGGGAAAAGACATGGTGGGAAGGAGAAACCACGAGAAACCACTCTGCCAAGATCATCCAGAATTTTCTCCATTTCACCCCAGAACTGGGTGTCGGTTTTGTGTTCGCTGTTCTGTAGCACCTACATTTTCACGGGTGTGTAACACTCAGAACAGGGAGACCGGTCGCCCAGTCTGGCGACCAAGGACCCAAGCTCACAGCTTTCCGTTCGCTTGAGCCCCTCCCTTGTGCCGGTCCCCTCCTCCGAAACCCCAAACGAAACCTACCCCACCACCGAGGGCCAGGACCACCCTCCCCAAGCTTCGGCAACCTTAGTTTCACCTCCAAACCCTTTTTGGAGGAAGAAACTCCCCCCCTCTCTCAAGCTCCGGTGCGCAAAGCACCTGGATGTGCACCTGCAGCGTGGTCTCCACCGGCGCCAGCGTGGGATCCGGGAAGAGGCCCACCACGCGGCACTGCAGCGCCAGGCTCTTCCGCAGCGCCGTCTGGGTCGCCTGATCAAAGACCTCCTCGGTTTTGGGGTGGCGGAGAAGGGAGATTGAAGCAGCTGAGCCCCACGAAAAATCACCGATGCCACTGTTCATGGCTGCAGGTCGGAAAACAGGAGACCGACCAGTTGACGTACCTCTTCCAGGTGGTTGGCGACCATTTTTGGGAAGCTCCAGGTTGAACAACCCACAGGTGTTCCAACATCGGCCCGGCTTCGGATTCCCATATCGGTCCCAGCGGCTGCCAGGGTGTCACTGGGCGCAATGAGAAGTTCGCCGTCCAAATCCAACTCCAGGACGCTGTGACCTCACCAAGCATGTGTGGAGCACGAACTACCACGTGGGAACTACCACATGGGAACTGCTTGGGGTTCTGGAGCTCTTCAATCAAGCCCTCACCCGAAACCAAGAAGCCCTCTTCAGCTGTTCAAACCAGCTTGCATCTTTCTGGTGGAGAGGTGGTTTGAGACCAAAAAAGGCATCGGTCTATTCCATGCTCTCACTTCCGCTTCCACCCAGCAGGAGCACCATCCCTCTTTCACCACCAAAAAAGAAGAAGGACATTCTGTGAAAACGTGAGACGTTTTTCACCCTTTTTGTGAAACGTCCTGAAAAAAAGGGGAAGGCCCGCGACTGATGGAGGTGATGGAGATATGAGGTGGGCAAGCCACAGCGGTTTAGGGGATCAGGGTGTCGCTCATCCATTTCCAAGCTCAGTGAGTTCAGCGAAGGCTCGGTTTTTTTCCACCCAACACTGTCCTGGTTTTTTTTTCGGAAACCACCATCTCCCGCCTGGAAACGGTGCCTTTCACAAGGAAAGCATGCTGAACTTCTGAACCAGGTGGACGCCTTAAGAATGCCCTGGAAAGCGACCAAAGCATCGGCAGGTGGAAAGAACCCATTCTCCAGCCTTGCTGGGATGCTTTTCGCAGGCGTTCGCTTCCAACGCCTTCAAACCCAACCCCTCTCTGCCACGCAGCCATCCACGAAACCCATATGCAGCAAACGGTCGTAGGTGAAGCTGGTGCTGGGCAAGCCACCGGTGACCGTGCACGCGACACCTGAAACGGAACGGCCACCCATATGACTTTCCCACAGACCCTGTTCTGTCAAACAGTGCTCCCATGTGCTCTCTCTTCCATCTCGGATGTCCAAGCTGCTGAAGGTGAAAGGCTTCATCAAACCCATGCCGGAGGGCACTTTGGGCTTCATGGGTAACAGCTCCTGGAGGCCAACAACTCGCGCCTTCTTGCGCCGCGAGTCGTCTTTTTCGCGGCTTTGGGCATCTACGTTGATGGTGAAGGGTTCAACGTTGGTTTCTTTTGGCCATTCACCCATGCTGAGTCTTGCCTTCGCACCCTTCCTCTCTTCGTGGCTCAGCAGCCTCCGAACCCCTCAGAGGGTCACCCTCTACAAAGAACATCTCCGCTCCCCCAACCGGCTCTCCTGGCCCAAGGACACGGCCACGGAGTCGAGCTCGTACTGCAACAAAGGCCATGGCCTTGGCCTCACAGCAGTTTTCAATGTGAGAAGAGCAACTGTAAGCAACTAAGGATCATACTCTTTGTGGAACTACTCTGTACTACAAAATCAAGCTCAATGATCCATCGTCGGGACGAATCTCTGGTGGCCGCTCCCTTTCCTCCTTTTCCTTCCAAGCAACCCTTCCATCTCCTCAGGCTCTCCTCACCTGCCCTTCCACCAAGTCAGGACGACCTCGACCCCCACAGCCCGCTTCACCCCGCTTCACCCACCGCCCCGGACCCGTTCACCGCCCAGACAGCCCAGACAGCCCAGACGCTTGAGTGCCACGAAGGCGGTTTGGTGCATCTTCCCTTGCCGCCATGCAGAGACCGTGCAAATCCCGCCGTCCTGGCCATAGAACTTCTCCTCGACCACCTCAGACCACGCACGCGGGAGCACGTGGAAGCTAGCACGACAAGCACCCTGGCAGCGCAGCTCCCGTGGCGCTTTCGCTAGGGGAGGGCACAGCTCAAGGTGCAGTGCGATTTGGCTGGCAGACCAGAGATGGAAATCATGCAAATCTTCATTCGATGGACCACCATCAACCAGGCTTTCTCATCAACCAGGCTTTATCTGCCGATTCTCCACTACGAGTTGACGGTCCCAGCCGCAGAGACACCACCGCCCTGGCCATGTGTGGAGCTGAGCTCACCGGTGTGAGCATTGATCGAGAGCCACGGGATCTTCGGAGCACAAGCCATTGAGAAGCTCGACCAGTGACTGCCTCAGTGCAGGCTTCTGGAACGCTTTTCCCAGCCGCAGTGGTTTTTCTCGGTGGTATTCTATTCCGCCCGTTGAACAGTGGATGGAAGACTGGGCAAGGCTGGTCAAATCCCAGCCCCGTGCCTCTGCATGAACTTCACTGCATTCCCTCTGTTGATCCGGCAGATCACATTCACATCAACCATAAAATCGCTTGGACACAGCGGACGACCGTCGGGACCGTCGGGCCATTGTCCCATTCCACGGTGCCCCAAAATCTGATTCGGAGTGCGAAAATTATACAGAGGATTGAGAGGACCAATGGCCCAGACCCCAAGTTTGGTGGTTTATATGGATCCTCTAAAGCACATCTTGGGCTCTGTGCCATCTACTCTGAAACCTGTAAAAGATGGGAGAGCTGAAGATCAGATCAGCAACCCTCCAACCACCGGAGTCCACTGTTGATCGGTTTGACGCAAGTTCCATCTTCGAAGACACCAAGACGAAGACACCAACGTGACAAGTTCGCAGAGACTCCAGCAACTTTGAACGCCTAACCTTTAAAAAAATGTGTGAAAAGGATACTGCTGGGCAAGCCACCCGTGGTGAGGGGCGTCTCGGTCTGTGTGCCGAAGAGCAAAGCGCTCGACCTTCTGAAAGCTCAGTGCGAGGTGTGTTTGGTTTCACAGGTCAAAAGAGGTTCTTTGGCAACCCCTCTTGCCAGAAAACGGTACCGGCGGTACCGGTGGGCCAAAGAAGGATCCCATACCCACTGCGTGTTCCAGGCAATCTGGGAGCGTTTGCAGGTGCCTATAAACCCTGCAAGGCTGCTGAGTTCGAGTGTACCCCCACCCACCCCAATGGTGATGTCCTTCTCACGAGACCAGTCCGGACTCGGAAAGAAGACGTGGCTCTGTGGCTCTGTGGCCGATCGATCTTGGACCTAGGCTGAGTCGTCTCAGATTTTTGACACCCAGGCTCTTTATATATAGAATATAGGCGAATCGTCGTCGTTCTGCCGAAATGAAGGAGAAAAAGAGCTAGTGGACAGCTAGTGGTCCAAGCGCACACCCTCTCTTTTGCTTCCAAAACATGCCTTTTTTGTCCTCACCGGCCCCGCATGCCCCGACCGGCCCGAGCGGCCCCGCTCGGGCACCTGTAGCTGAAAGCATCCGCCGCCACGGTGACCACCGCCGTGAAGCTGATGCCCGGCGCCTGGTGCGCCGTGACCTCGCAGGGGAAGCTGAAGGCCTCCTGATGCGCCGGCGGTACGTGTGCCCAGCAAACCGAAAAGGAGGGCGCAAGGTGCACCGTGTTGGTGCGAGAGGAGCAGAAGTTTGATGGAAGGCGGTGGAAGAGGAAGACCAAGCAGCTTCAATGGTTCTGGCGGTGAAATCAGGTCCATGATGTGGATGCTGGCAGACTCAATTCCCCATCTGTTCGCTTTGGACTTAAAAAGAAACATGGAGAAACCTTTTCGGCCCAACTTCCTTGCTTGATGCACGCATGATTGCGTGCATCAACCTCCTCACTCACATGGACTCTGAGAATTGTTCACCTGCAACACTTCTTCGTGGCTTTGGAGGGTCCGGAAGGCATGGTCACCTCCAGGAGGCTTTTTCGGTTCGTTCCATCTCACTCTCCACCCCTCCACCCTCGACCTACAGTATTCTGGTATTTCCGGTCCTTCGGTTTCTCCTTTCCAGCCACATAGCGGATCTCTCCACTGCTCGCATCCATGGTGAGGTTGTGCTGCGACAGCTCCTTGGCTGATCAGCGTGCGACAGCTCCTTTGTAGCGTCGTTTGCAGCGAAGTGGTGTCAGCTCGGTGTCAGCTCCTTTGGATGGGGATTTCGTGGATGGAAGACGAGTATACATGGCACAAGTTACCCCACTCCCATCTGTCTAAGACCTCTTGGGGGGGATATGCCATTGACTCTCTGAAACCACTGTAGCTCTCTAGAGGGGTCTCCGTTGGCTGGAAGGCGCCGATCGGCTGATTCCGATTCGGCTCCGATTCCCAGGTCGTGAAATTGGTAGAGGAAGCAGACGGTTTGAAGGGGTGAGAGAGAAACATCTTGTCGGGAGATCCTACCAACGCTCCAAACATGCCGGAAAAACATGCTCCAAACGTCTGTGCTGATCTGGTCTGTGCTGATCTGTGCTGATCTGTGTCACCTCCAGACCCGAGACTCGACTCGAGATCGTCTCAACGGTGGCACGACGTGCTATTTTTTTCTACAGGTGGTTCCTGGGAGGTTGCTCGCTGCCGGGAATCCGGGCCTCTCCGGGTCAGCGGATGGGGAGCTGAGGTACGCAGGTACGGGTCAAACCTGGTGTAAAGAACACTTACAGTGGTGACAGACCCGAAAGTAGAATTGAATCATAGCATGAAGTTGATCAAAAAGACATCTTTCGAAACACCACCTCACACGGATTCCTGTGCTGTGAAGTAGACCTGTTTGGTTCTTAGCTTGCTGCAGATTTGGATTTGGGGGATAGCTAAACATCAATCATCATCAATCCGCTCACGTTACTCATGTGCATCGAAGCGTTACTCATGTGCATCTTCCCCCACATCCCCACACCATCCTTCCCCCTAGTCACCTCCCCACACAGAGCCTCCCCAGTCACTCCCAGGCTCGCACTGCGCATCCAGCGTGTAGCGCGTCGCCGTGCGCGGCTCCGGCTTCAGCAGCAGCTCCGAGGACAGGGACCAGCGCGCCGTGGGGTACTCGAAGGGCGTCGGAGTCACATGGCCCCCGCCGCACTCCTCAGCTCCGGAGTCACGTGAGGCGCGAGGCGAACGAGACGTGTGTTGGAGGCGTGTGTGTGGGTGAGAGAGAGAGAGAGAAAGAAAAAGGTGGCTTTTGGGGTTGGTTGTTGGTTGGTTTTGGGTCTGGAAGCACCGGAGAAACACCACGATTTTGGATTTTGGGTCTGAGTCGGTTTGGAGAATGGCGGAGAGAACCATCTGAAGGCGCTTGACGATTTCTCCACATCTTCCACAGGTGTCAGATGTGGAAAACGCGGAGCAACGAGCATGACATACAGAATTGCAAAAGCCTTGATGCCCAAGAGAAGTCTAAACCTAAGCCCACGTACTGTCCTGACCAGACTATCTGGAGGGCTCTTCTTCGGGAATTGCGGAAAAAGGCAGTCTTTAACGCCCTTTTTGGCATAAGGTTATATAAGGTTAACAAGTTTTGAAGTGACAAGAATTGTTATATATCCATATAAGTCCGCATACCAGTTCAAACCAAAAAGTCGATGTGTCTCCACATGTCAGACGTGTTGGGAAAAAATAAGACACGTCCATGTCCCAGACACCCACGGACCGGGACTGCTCACACGGTCTCCGAGCGTCGCAACATGCCTGGTTGCTGCTCTGGCCTTTGACCGGTACATCAGAGCCTGCACGAGGCCGGCGAGGCCTGCTCTGCAACGCACGGTCCCCGGGACCGCGGTTCTAATGTTGTAACCCCAAAAATCGAAGCTCCCAGTATGAAGGGGCCGTCGCCGATCCCAAAAGTCCAAAAGGATCTTCATACATAGGGCATCGAAAGCCCCGAATAAGGAGCAATCATGAATCCCAAACCCGTAAGTCATGCCTATCGATTGGGGGGTGCAGATTGATTCTCAGTCAGCTCATGCTCGAGACAGCTCAGTCAAACAAAAAAACAATATATATATATATATATATTCATGGTTCTTCAAAGTGACCTTTTGATAACCTGG